AATAAACTACACATTCTTAACATTAAAATTTTTTCGTGTCATATACACTTTAAAGACTATGCTGCCACAGCGCAAGTACTTTCTTAAACATGCGCGCGCCCTCAAGCCTCGCTCATTTTCCCCTTCTTTACTTGGTCCTCTCCTTTGGACTTTCCTCAAGCGGCAACCATGTTGGAGTTCTAGGACGATATTTTTTTCCCGGGTAGACTTCATTATCATGGGAGTACAAGGGAACATGGCTACCCCGTGTGTCAACGGTTGGCAATGACATACTCATGTTACATAATTTTTTGCTTTCTTTCAGGCGATTGTCTCGGAGCTTTGTTAATATATCAGAACCAAAACAATCCTATCCATGTCAACATCTCAGTTAATGATGAACTTATTCCCGTCATCTGCGATCAGTCAACAAATGGCGGAGGATGGTTAATAATTGGTCGAAAGCTGAACGCCACATTCAACATTGATCGATCTAACTGGTATACAATGGGATTTGGTCAACTTGATCATGATTTTTGGTTAGGGAGTAAGTTGATCGCCACTATTACAAAACAACCTGTACAGCTTTCAATCGAGATTCAGGATGAATATGGACAGATGAGGCATGCAGCGTATAGATATTTTAAAATGAATGTCAATAAGGGCAATGAGAAGTCAGGTCGTGTTGCGCATTACACCGGAAACGCTGGGGACGTTCTCGAGGCAGAAAGTTCCTCGAATCAGATACTGATCGAAAAAATCAAGAACTTATTCAGTAATGCAACCTTCAAGAGAGTAGAAATGAAGATTAGACCAAACATAGGTGAGTTTTTAAAGCTTGAGCTATATGCATTATTTTTTAACGATTATTCGCCGAAGGCCAAGTGATTATCGGTGGAATATTTACCGAGACGCGAGTCTTCGAGCGGCGAAATTCGAAATTCAGGATTAAAAAACGTTTTAATATTACTTCCGTTCTGGCAAACTTTGGAAAACTTCTTAATTAACGTTCCACCGCTCCAGCGATGATTAATAATACTGAATAAAACTGAATACGACAACATGACATATTCGGGCTTCACCCTCGTGGCTTTCTATCTAATTCTCGGGACTTTATATCCCATAGATTACTCGCTTTCATTATCTAACCCTTACATAGCGGTAAAACGCATTGTTGCCAGATTCTACTGCCTTTGTTCTTCTTGTTACTAACACCTTATTATATTTGACCCTATCAAAGATCTCCCCAGTGATTACGACCTGTATTTCCAATCATCGCGTCCAGCTGACAACCAAGTCAAAGTGACTAATCTCACAGAGATATCGTCTTTCACGATCTGTGCATGGATACGGGTCCGAGTACCTCATGTGGGCACCTTATTTTCCTTGGTGTCGGATGGTATATCTTGTCATCTGAACTTTTTAATAGCTGGAAATACTTACTACCTGGCTGCCTCATGTGGTGCAAACGAGTAAGTCCTCTCTCCAATAGAGACCTTTTTACCGATACGCCGGTCATCTTGAATTATATTGTTTAAAGTGATTATAAGCATAAAAAATATAGCCGGGTTCCCTGTGGTTTACTCAGGGTTAACCTCAGGGTTAACCTCGAATCAGTGTCTAAATACTATTCACAAACACAACAAAACGAACACTTCGAAATTCATTTCGGTGGAACACAAGCGTGGTTATTCTTCTTATTCCAGGCAACAGATCCAGCAGAGCAACAGAGAACTCGAAACTGAAGCATTTGCTTGAAATATTAGCAGTGTATTATTATTCCTTCTTTTTCTTTCTTCTTATAGAGCCAAGAAAGTGTTTACCGGCTTTGACGATCAATGGCATCATGTATGCGCTTCTTGGAAAGGCTCTACAAATCTTGTCATGTTATATTTGAATGGGGTGAGGATAGCAGAAAAGATAGAATCTGAATCCGGGACACAAGTTATCCCAAGAGGAGCAATTCTTAACATCGGTCAAAATCAGACCTCTCGCGATGACAGTTCAATTCAAGTAGCCCATAATTTCATAGGACAGCTAGGACACTTGGATATGTGGGACTTTCATATCCAGGAAAGTGAAATAATTGCCTATGCCAGAGGTCCAAGTTCTCAGTCTGGTAATGTAGTGCCTTGGGCTGTTGTACGAACTCTGGCTTCTGATGGAATACGGGTAATATATCCTTCATCGTGCTTGCTTAAAGGTAAGGAAATGTTTTTCAAAATGAAAACTTGCTGTTATAACTATAAGTAGACAACTCAATAAGCCTGAAGCGAGATGACGTTTTACCCCCGTCTCTAGACCATAATCCTTTTCACATTACTTTTGTTCTTTAATTATGACTATTGTTCCTGTATTCTCTAAGGAATCAAAAATTTTAATATGAAAGAATTTTAAAAACTATTATGGTATAGAGTCGGGGATAAAACGTCATCTCGCTTCAGGCTTATTTAACTTCCAGAAAAGCAGAAAAGGGATAAGTGGACTAGATCCCCTGTTGAGGTCATATCCTCAACAAGGTAGTTTTGTATGTGTTTTCCCGCCGTGTCGTAAGTGTGAGTCCACTAACCGGCTATTATCGCTGTCTCCTGTGTACACGTGTATGTTATTTTGTTTGATGGTTGCGACGTGTTTATGTGCGTTCATCTATTGGTAAGTTTTTCATTGTTCGCTCGCTAATATTTGTCGTGATTGTAATGTATTGTTCTTTGTTTATTAGGATTTTACTTTAGGAAGTGAAATTGTAAAACCTTTGGATGAATATTAAAACAAATGCACGTTTTCGCGACCGTCAGTAAGATATCATCCTACATCCCCTTTTTCAGCTGGTACAAAATGTTTCCTAGACGCCTTACTAATCAGATTTAAGATTTATCAATCACACACTTGGAGAGTCAAAAGAGTCACCTATTATTCCTAATGGAAAACATTGTCAAGTGTTTTTGTATTATTCCGGAACCACCGCGACGAAGAGTCCAAATCCGCATGCAGCCAGTGGATATCTCACATTCCACACCCCCCTAGGACAACATGTGACAACCTTATTCGCCAGGTTATGAATACCAGTCTTCAGAATAAATCATTTCACCTTTTTCGTTCATACGGACTTGGAGGACTCGACAGCGCTCCACCCTCGAGCTCCTCCCCGCAGCGATGACCACCTTGCTCCCTGTCGCCTTCGCAGTAAGCTATCCCATATCTTAACTTGGTTAAACTGTAACGTATGGCGAGTTTCTAAGCAATCAAACTAACAGCCAAAAGAATAAGCTAATGACTTTGGTGATACTGTTTCATATCTTAGAAAGGTATCACTGGCGGTTTAACAATGGCAACAACAGTGTTCAATACGACGAGAACGCCAACAGCACAGCTGTAATGCAGGGTTCGGTAGTCAATGCCGATGAGGAGTCTCTTGTTATCGAGAGAGGAGGTTATATAATGGCATCTAATATGGTTCCACGAAATGATTCATTGACGATGTCATTTTGGATGAAACAGGAGGGTAAGTAAGGAAAAAGTGTTTAGCTACCGTTCCTCCCAATAAATCATAAGCCTCCTATTCGTCGTCCTTCCCATACTCATCACAAATGGGTGTTTTAAGGTATAAAGTGTCGTCTTGTTTTTCGAGCCAGATAGCATTCACCAGTGGTTAAAGATCTTGGGGGCTTCCTCCAGAATTTTGATTGTCGAGGCTTTGTAATTGACCTGTGACCCGAAATAGCCGTCTTCTATGATAGTAAATGGATCAATGAAAACCAAGATTTACTGGCCATTCATTTCCTTTAAAAAGTTTGTCGTGTGAACCCACAACTACTAATGTTTCATATAAAGATCAAACTATCAATGAATAAATGTAGCTTCCCTGGCCGTTCTTACATCCTATGTAGTGGACACTCACTTACATTATATAGTACGTACCTTGCAAATATAGTGATTATCTGTCTCCGTTGGTTGGAAGCTTACATATAATGCACCTAAAAAATACACGAAAACATGATTAACAATAACCTTGTTTTAATAGCTATAAAATGTGAGCCAAAATCAATAAATGACGTTGCAACGTATTTAAAAATGAGCCAATTTATCTTTGGCGACTGCAGCCCGGGGGGGGTGGGGGTACTCCCATATATGGACTATACGGGGATGATCCGCTGAACAGGGTATGGTTTTTCGAGCTTCTTATCATAAACAGGGTATGCAATTTCATTCAAGTTCCAAGTTCTTCCTGAGCTTCCTGTCATATTCAGGGATTCTACTTTCGTATTGACCGAAACTGGTTACAATGGTCGTCAAAAACCGATACGCAAGATGATCCCAGCGGAACACCCCTACCCAAATTCTGGCGGAGTACCCCCCCCTCCCCCCGGACTGCAGCAAGGACCAGAAAAAGGAGGAATGGTTAGGGTCTATTTTCCCCCGTCTAAAACTTTTTAGGCAATTGATAAATAATGTCCGGTTCCTTTTGACTATGAAAACTATTTTTAATGGCACTATCTTTAAATCTCGCTTCAGTTCTGATATCTGACATTCTTGGGGAAAACGCAGCTTATCACACTTACCTTAAAGACTGGCTCTCGCCTTTGGTATCATATCATGCATCTTGGCTTCGTTGCTACTCATCAAAGAAAGACGGTTGGCTTCTTTCCACGTTCCATAATAACTGTGACTTAAAAGGACCTACGATAACACTGATAAGGGTGAAGGACAATGTCTTCGGTGGGATAATCGATCAGAGTTGGGGAGGTAAGGCTCGGTTCATACGTCGAACTTTTCATGCGCCGAACCAAATGCTAAGAATTAAGATCATGAAAAGTACGACGTCTGAACGAATTAAATTCGACCATAACATTGAGCTACTCTGATTCAAACGACGAACTTTTCATGAACCGAATCTAATGCATATATTATATTTAATCGCTAAAAGGGGAGGTGGGCAAGCAGTTTTATAATGAGCTGTTCATGCGCATAAACATCAACATGGCTTCCTGTGTTATATGAGAGGCTCGGCAGCTGGTTCCGGATCCCGGGAAAGCAAAATGGCGTCCGATGATTCGTGTTTTGCAACCACGAAATACGTTTGTATTTCTTGTGAAATCTCAATATGCAATAAATGTTCATGCTTTGAAAGCGATGAAGAACAGCCTGGTTGGGTTACAGGAAGAAATATAGGATGGCCGAGCGGGGGACTGCGGCGCTGCGGAAGAGTCTGATTTCTATATTACTGCATGTTAACCGCTGTCCTAAATGCTTGACTTGGAAAAATGTAATTGGATCGACTGAATTTGGTACGACGTCTGAATCAAAAGTAGATATTTGACGATCCTTGGTCGATCTTCAACGTGTTAGGTTCGGTTCATGAAAAGTTCGACGTATGAGCCGGGCTTAAGAGTGATAACTTAACCACATCACAAAGTATTTCACTGGTTCACTCAGCCTGTTTGTCTGTATGGATTTACGCTTTCTATCTTTTTCACTTCGTCTTTAATTCCTTCTTTCTAAAGTGGCTGCACCAATGTTTTTTGATTTGAAACTAAATAAGAAATGTGAATATCAAATAACAAAAAAGATAGTGATGCTTCCATAGCACAGTTCAGTAGTCAATGCAATGACATCAATAGACCTATCCCGAATTCGCTTGACTGGTCACGAAACAATGGTTTGAAGTCGAGGTTGAACTTGATGAATAAAAGAATCAAGTCCAGTCTCAACTTCAAATCATTGTTTCGTGGTCAGTCAAGCAAATTCAGGATAGGTCTATTTGTCTGAAAATCATGGAATAACGAGTAACAATGAAAAATCGCGCAAACTGTTGAACGACCTTTTGCTAACAGTTTCAGAGCAAGCGAATGTTACCAATATTATCACGCTTAGAATACAGAAAAATTTACGGTCTTTTGCGAAGGGCATTGCTACATTATTGCAATGCCGAAGTGAATGCTTGCAGGCGTATTACCACGCGGAACGCAAAAAATAGTACTCCCTTTTGCAAAGAGTACAGACAGCTTCAATTAAATACGATGGTAAAACTTTGGTTTCGACCACTTGGGAGTATCTATGTATTTAATTTTGATTTTGTTATCAATTTTTTGGCAACGACCCCCACCCCCAAAAATATTGCGGGCGGGACTAAAACAACAAAATTATTTTGTCATTTCAGGCACATCAGGTTATCTTGGAAGCACGAATGCATTCCTGTTTTCTCTCAAAAACCCGCACAATATTCCTGCCCTGAAGTTTCCCATGGAAACTGATTTACTAAATTCACTAAATAACGCGAGAGTAACAGCTGCTCAAACGAGTCCGTTTCTTGGCCCAAGCTTCGGATTAAATGATCTGGTCATTTATGAAGACGCAAACAGTCGTGTCAGCGGTTATAGTGATCTTGGCAATGCTTACAAAGTTCTAAATAGTACATCAAGTAAGATCGGTACCAATAATATCTTTACTGGAACTCGATGGTTTTATCCTGATGAAATTGAAGTCTTCTATTATGATCGTAAGTAGGCGCGATTACATCTCATCAAATACCCTCTTTCACGCCCCAAAATTAAGAACTTCAATTTTTGTTTAGTTTAATCTATGAATTTGGCATCTAAGATATGGAATTCGTCTACAACGTAGTAATGAAAAAGCCCCCTTTTTAAAAGTACTAAGTTCTGCCCGGTTTGACTGACAATGTAAAGCTGCAATAGATCTCTTCGGCTCTGACGTTATGTTTTCCCATTCCAGACCACGTCATTCCCTAGAGTATCATTTTTTTGTTTAAGGTTTGCGCTAGGTTGCACATGAGATCTAGAAGACACATGAATATGGATACAACTAAAACAAAGAATTTTATTCTCTAGGGAATGACACGTGGTCTTAAATGGGAAAACATTACCCCAAGCCGAAGAGGTCTATTTTGTTCAGTTTAATCTTGATCGGGATTCCTATCCTTTATTTTGTAAGCCCATTAACCTCGAAATACATTTCACGCAAATAAGAACGAAATACCTCTTTAAAAAAACACTCGTGAAAATTGTCGTTCATTTTACTTGGTCCCATCACGCCATTCACAATTCGTGATTCGTGCGATATGGCTTTTCTCGCGAACTGATTCAACGTGAAGTTCCCTCGTCAGCCAATTAATCTTGCTATAGAGTAAACCTACTTTGTGGTAGCCATCTTTCTAGTAACATTCTCGGTGGTTTGCCGAACCAAAAGGCTTTTTTATATACTAACGATTTTGCAATCACAATTCTTTAGGCTGAATTTTTCCAGTGAACGCCGAAAAACTGCAACTTTGTCTTTTTCCGCTCTCTCTCCTTTAGTGACTCTCACCACCGTGTCAACCACGAAACAGTTGTCGTCTTCCCTGACCAACACTAATGGAATGTGGTGCTCTGGATCGAGCAACGACATTGCTGGTAATGTGACCACGGAAATGAGCAATTTAGATAGCATTACTCACATTGGCGTTGAAGGACAACCCGAAAATCATGTGACGTCCTTTGGTGTAAAATACGACACTGCTGCTGATAAAAGAGAGAATGAGAGAATAGAATTAACAACGGTAGGTCAGCTGAGTGATGGCAACTATCGAAGTTTTAATATAGATAACATTATCTTTGGAAATGCTACAATAGATAATCGGCGTTCAGCACCGTTTTCCCGTACAAAAAAAAATTTTGTATCTTTTTGCTGACAATTTATCTAGAAAAGATAACTGAAAATGATTGAAAAAACTAGCGAAAATACTCATCAATCTCCGACATTTAGTATAGAGTTGTCACTTGATCAGCCTAGTAATAAAACGTCAAGATTTGCATCACTTTCAAACAGTGAGCTGGACAAGATTGTGTCAGAGCGTCACTCCAAAAAGACAAAGCAAACCACAAATTGGTCGGTGTCTACATTCAAAGGGTTTTTAGCAATGATTAAGCAAATACAAAAATATTGTTATCGTGTATTTATTCAACAAAAGTATTTCCAAAGTAATTAACTATAAATATCACGCTCACCATCTACTTCGCAGCTTCACAACTGCAGTGAAGTCCTTTCTGAAGCTCTACATGGGAGTGAAAGCCGACATACTACCCAGAGAAAATTAATCCAGTTCAGTCAGTTAGTTTTGATCCATGTACAAGAAACTTTCCATTTCTAAGTCATTGTACGATAGCAAACTTGAACATCGTCAACAACAACCAAGACAGCCACTGTGTTTTTCATTGATTTTCTTGGCATTACTGTACTAAGATATGTCAACATTTGAAATGTACTTCTTACAGTTGAAAATCACTTTCTCCGTAATTTTGGACATTTTTGGTTCACTTGTAAGCCAATTTTTTGCCATTATTTTAGTCATAACAGTCTTCAGTGTAAAGCWGCCATTTTCAAAACGACTGTTTTTCTGTTTTTGGCGCCTTTGTGCTTTTCATTCACGCAAGGTGTGTAAGGAGAATTCAGGGCATGATCAACAAATACAGTCTATATTTTGTATTSATTTCTTGWTTGTTGACTTGACTATATTATAAAAGCAATGGATCATGGGTAGCTGTGCGTCCATCGAGTTATGGATGCACGCGGGAGGTTGCTAAGCACGAAGAAAAGCGTAAGAGTTGCACGACGCGACACGCTACTTATGATCCATTCCTTTAATGTTTAATGTTTTTTTTTGAGACGAAGTGTCAGTCTTTCGAGACTTAGATTCTTAATCGAGTTAAACAAAGAATGGTACCTAGAGAATGGTCTCAATCAATTTGGTTCGTTTTCCTTCCAAAGGTGTTTGCTTCAAGGAATCAAGGTCGTCAAACCCTACATGCGCTGATGCCACCTATAAGAGCAAGTAACGTCAGTATTTACCCGATCTCTTGGAAAGGCAAAATATGTATGAAGATTAAATATTTTACATTCAATAAAGGTATCTGTCAAGGATGTTCCTCCATCATTACTAACCAATATCATTACTAACCAATATCGGAGGGACGTAAAAGAACCACTGAGGACGTAAAGAAACCCTGGTAGTAACCTCCCGTACGAAAGTCCGATGCTCAACCAACTGAGCCAACCGGTTTGCGGTTATTATAAAGATATTAGAGAGTTTTAGATTGACTTTTTTTCTCCCCGCAAACGGCAAACGTGACCATGTTTTCATAGTTATACTGTATTTTACTTTACTTTTTACAAACCTTCTCACCAAAGACAAATATTCTTTTGTTTTTCTACTACTTGGACTTTTTTACGATACTTTTTAAGCTATTTAAAATCATTTCTAAATGGTCAACTGACGTTTCACGTTTGCCGTGAACGTAAATCTAAAACTCTCTATTATGTAAATTGTATACATTCAATTGCAAAATCATTGCCAGGCTCAAAACGTAGAACATAGAAGTTGATCTAAAGGTATGCTGGGCAAATGGCATAATTATCCTATGATGTCTGCATTTGAGATAAAGAGTCGGCTCGGCTGAAAAAAAACAAAAACACAAAAAAACAAAAACAAAAAAAACCAACAACAATAATTTATGAACATTCCAAAAATTGTTTCAAAGCTCGCTAGCTATATCTAATTAACGTACTTATTATGTGCCATTTTGCCCTCAACTTCAATGTTCTATGCCTTTGAACCCGACATTTATTTTGCAATTGAGTTTAAGAAGCAAACGACGACCCAAGAAAGCGATCGTATCGTTAAGTTTTATATTTTCTTTCCCACTTCAATAGCTTGTGGGGCCCCTCTTGGAATGGAAAATGGCACGATTCCAGATGAACGAATTTCTGCTTCATCATCTTTTAAAACGTATAAATACGACGAAAGCCCCGAGCCATATCGATGGCCAATGCGTGGAAGATTGAATAATAATGAAGCTGGAAAAGCTTGGGTCCAAGCTAATGATAAAACGAAGGAAGATTGGTTACAGGTTGACTTGGGCACTCGACGAAATATCAGATGTGTAGCTTTACAAGGACTTATCAAAAAAATACAGTATGTTAAAGAGTACAAAATCTCGTATAGTAATGACGGATCGCGGTGGGACTTTGCACAAACAGATTATAATACAAAGGTAAGAATATCCTCTAAAAGTCCCTTTCACACTTCCCTGCGCCATTTTGAAAGGTAGCCGTGCTTTTGCATCGAAGCGAGACGAATGGTGAGCTTGCAATGATAGAGACCTTGGACAATTTTTCACATGTTTCGATCACTGCAAGCTCATCGTTCGTCTCGCTTCGATGCAAAGGCACGGCTACCTTTTGAGATGGCGCAGGGAACTGTTAGGGGGACTATTAAACTTCAAAGTTGGAATATAGTTCGGCCTTTTCTCATTCCGTAAATACTGCTGTGTTTTATTACTAAAGACTGATCTGCACAGGCATCTGCATTGTCGGAAAAACAAAAAGCTATATGACATGGAAACGCCTTGATTGACGTCCACCAAAAGCTTCTTTGTCGCGACAAAAGCAATCGCTAGTGCGGAGCGTGTGATTGAGAATGGCTGTAATGAGCAGCACACTATTGTGTCTGTGTATGTTGCTTCCGATTCCGAAGCTAGTTTGAACCAGGCTAAGGACTGTTTAGATGAATTTTGAAACAATATCAAGAACTCCGTCATCCATCTCGGAGCTGTTTTGCTTTTGTCCCACAAATTCAGAACCACAATCTTGTCTAACAAAACTCTATTTAGTGGCAGTTGTCAAAATCCCAAAACGGGTTTTGCCGGTAATTTATGCCAAATTATATTATCTATTGAGCCGCCAACCTCTGTTGAGCGGGTGCAAATCCCGCCGGCCCGATCATGAACGCGTTAAAAATAATGGTTCTACACTATACAGTTACTTATAATCAAACATTTTCGATTGACTCTACGTATCGTTCTTCCTAATATAGATTTTTAAAGGTGTCACAGATAGTATGCTTACGCTAACTAGCCCCACTCCGCGAATGGTAAAAACAAGATTTCTACGAATCCACACTACGACATGTAGAGAAACGAAAACCTGTGCTCTTAGACTAGAAATTTACGAGAATAAAACAGGTAAGCTGTTCGGTTTTCGCTAATAGTTTATTTCAAATTACGAACAATTTGTCAGCCACTCACTCACTCATTGAGTCAGTCAGTCACTGATTGACAAGCCTTTTCATAGTTTAACAATCGATTCCACTTCGCGCGCGCATGCCATTTTATCTTGAATTTCTCACCTTCTTTTGTCTAAACCTTCTTTTATTCTTAATTAAACAAAAGAAGGTGAGAAATTCGGGATAAAATCGCATGCGCAGTGGAATCGATTCTTAAACTATGAAAAGGCTTATTGAGTCCTTTATCGAGTCACTAATTGAGTAAGTCAATTACTCGTTGAGTGATTCAGTCAGCCAGTCAGTTTCAGGCCTGTATTGAAGCCAATATTTATTTCGACCCCCTTCTACATATTGCACACGAAATACCAATTTTTCTATGGAATCTTACATGGAAGGGCAATAAAACCATTCGCCTATTTCATTTTTTTCTCAGACTATGGTGAGAGCTCTGGCTTACGGTTCTTTCTACGCAGAGGAAGTAACAACGTGATGTATGCTTCTCCTGCGAAATCTTGGAAAATAGAAAGCCAGCCAAAGATCGTTAACTGGACACATGTTGCAATCACGTGGTCGTCGACCTATGGCCTTAAAGTGTATTACAATGGATCCCTGTTTAATTCAGATGATACTACACATAACCTTGTTCAAATTAATCAATTCGGTCCTGTGTCAATCGCCATTGGGATGGTGGAAGAGGATGGACTGGGTAATAAACCGATGAAACTGAGTCAGTTGAAGGTCTGGCAGCAAGAGCTGAATGAGAGAGATATTTTGGCAGACTTTCAGTCAAGTAAGTCCTAATCTTGAATATACAGTTTGTAATAATGGTTGTCCGGAAAATAATATATCCTTTAACAGAAACAAGTGGGATTGGCGTGCATTTGCTTATCATTTTACTGATTTCGTTTTAAAGCAGGATACTTGGATAGATATATAAATTTTGTGTTTTTGCTTGCAATTGCTTTTGCTTTTGCTTTCCAAACTGCTTTGCCCAATATCTGAGCTACAGATTAGTACCCAGTTTCATAGACGCCATGTTGGTTGGAAATTTGCTATTTTTGTGGGATGAACAAGCTCGATCTTTATAGATGGTCGCAAATTAAATACAACTTACAAACGTACTGCATATTTGAATAACTGACTTTAATTGGTCAAAACAGTATGGCAGATAATGTTAATATTCCAGTGAGCCGAAACATTTTGTCCAGTTGTTGGCGTCGCATGATCATGCTCCCTGATGTCTGTGACGTTTTTGAAATCGCAAATACGATCAGTCGACGATGAGAGCTAAGAATTTTTTTTTTCAAACAAAAAAGGATAAGTATGGACAGGGCATTAGTTTACTTGTGCCTCATAGGTTGTTTAATCTTATGATGGATGCCATTATGTTTCAATAAATTCTTACATGGTTAGTTTGGTGTTGCAAATCCCTTTTATACTCACAAATTCTGACGAAAATCTTTATATATTAATTCTCAACTAATATTATTAATTTTTGTTTTCTGATCCCAGTATCCTGTAACTTTGAAAATGGAAGTTGTTGGGGTAGCACTCAAGATACGAGATCGCCATCATCATGGGAGAGAACGTCGTACTGTTTGTCAGATAATGAAACAGGTTTATGTCAGGATGACTCTCTTACAGGTGAATGACATTGAATTAATCAGAAATACAACAGAAACAACAAAAATACCATGAAAGCAAAAAACACCAAGGCAAACTGAGTTAGAAGGAATATAGTCATATACGTGGAAAAGTTAACTAATAAAATTGTACAAATTAGTGCAAAGTTTCGTATAAGTAATATTTTCAATTCATTTAGTCGTGTAGAAGTCATTGGATTCAACTTGTTTTCTTACGTGTGTTATTGTTATCTTAGTTCACTTGTGTTTGACTTTTTTAAGGCCGAATTAGACGGTACGATTTTCGCCTACAACCATCGCATGCAACCTGCTCACGTCATACTTACGACACGACTTAGGTTAGATCCACACGCCTACCACATTTTACCTACAACTCGCTACGTTTCTTGTATCTTTTTTGAAGTAATCGGCGTGTTTACAGTTAAATAAAACACTCTCTTTACTCCAGAGACCTATTAAAAGATCAACTTCCTCGTCAGTAAAATTAACTTTTTTTTTTTTTGTCTTCGTCTCACTTGGTGGGCTTGTTTTTGTTGGCAAAATCGGTGTTGTTGTTGTTGTTGTTGTTGTTGTTGTTGTTTTGTCCGACATTTTTATCGCCCCACGGACTACCCCACAAATTTCCCCACAGACTCCCTCACGGTAGGGTATTTTGAGCAAATTTCGCTACGACTATCGCAGGATTTTAAATCACGTTTTAAAACTCTACAACTTTTTTGTAGTCACACACATCAGACTTGAGTGAGTTGTAGGACAGAATTACACGACACGAGTCATGTCGTAAGTATGACGTGAGCAGGTTGAATGTGATGGTTGTAGGCGAAAATCGTACCGTCTAATTCGGCCTTAAGGGAAATGGTTTCATGAAATCACTCGATTCAACTTGTTTCCTGGCGTGTCGTCGTTATTACTGAACTTACTCATTTGCGGAAATGAATTTCTGCAATTTCTTACAAAATATTTCATTGGTATATGGTAAGCACTCTACTGATGAGTCTACCGAATAAGCATAACAAAACCACCTTATATCTAAAGGGAAAGCATTCACAGACATACAGACAAACAAGCAAATTATAAAGATTCAAAATAAATACCTTTACAAGCTGAGAATCTGATCCCCCAGAAGTGCCCATGAGTGGTTAATAGTAAAGACAATCAGCAATTTTTGCTCAGAACCTGTAAACGAAATATTGAAATTAAAAAAATATGATTGCAAACACCAAGAGCATATCTATTGAGATAGTTTTCCAAGCAGTATAACTTACAGTTTTAGAATATGAATAACTAATGACAGGAAAAACACAGTAGGATCGCTTTTGTAAATGTCCATACAGAATGGCTGCCCTTATTGTGTATATACTGTAAAAAGAAGCATACACTAACAATAGAACAATCAGGTTTACCGCTAACCGCTTGGGAACACGCCCAGAGACRCGCTCGCAAACACAGAGTAACATTCGACTCATCATCGATGAAACTCAATATGGCGGCTCTTCCAGCAACAACTACGTTATCATGCCTTGCTAAATGTCCTACGTTTGAAAACGCCTGACGTCGAACTGCAGAGTTAGGTTTGCGGTACCTAGCAAGAACGTCTTGCTAAAGGTCTAATAACGATCTCTCTTTTTTGCTAGGGTACTACTTAAAGTTGAAGGCCTCTCCAGTTTCGTTCGGCCAGTCGTCAATGTTTACCTCTCCTCTTCTACACAGCACATACTCGTGTGTTTCTTTTACTTTTCTTTTATCTGGCAACAAACACGTCGGCCGTCTAAACATAAACTTGATTGACAGCCAAGGAAACAAACGGTTGCTATGGAGACGTGGTGGTAACCATGGTAAAATGTGGATGGAGGCAAACGTGCCCGTTAAACAAGCCAAACCATTTAAGGTACGAGTACGTTTTTCGATATGCCATCTTTAACTAAAGTCGCAGAATCGTACCGTTAGAATAACATGTATTTTGATTTATGGACTTCATCATGGGTATTCTTTTGAACCAATAATAGTAATGTAACAAGCACCAGCATAGGAAGGGGGGATAGGAATCTGGCCTAGCCATTATCATCTCTCCTTCGTTCCCTTTTATCCTTCCAGTAAAGGGTCCGTAGTGTGTAGTATCTTTCTTGATCGCATGTTGTACTGACAGTCTCTGTTACCTAGTATAGTACCTAGTAAAACCATAATAACTGTTTCATTGATTTTACGTGTCTTTTTCCCTACAGATCGAATTTGAAGGGATTAAAGGAAGGGAATACGATAGCTACATTGCGATTGACAATATCAAGATATCAATTCAAACATGTGAAACATTGACTCCACAAAATGCAAATCCTAACATCTTAGGTAAGTACTTTGTTAATAGACTTTTGGATCAAGGATTAATGAAACTATTATTTTAAGAAAAGGAATGGAAAAAGCAAGTTAGGTGTCATTTAGCTAACTTAGGCCTAGGGCAAACGTCGAATTTTCCATGCACCGAACTTAATTACATCAAAGGATGCCGCCTCATTATCACCTGATATCCATTGTTTTTAATAATTTCGGTGCATGGAAAATTCGACGTTTGCCCTAGAACTTACACTCAGTTTGGATTTTATTTTAGCGTCTCGTTTTGAAATTGTCATGTTATAGACCTCTTTAGCTTGAGAATAAAGTTTTGTCCATTTTAGACGCGTCATTCCCTTGAGTATTACTTTTTGTTTTGAGGCGAATGAAACAGATTCTTATTCCTAAAGAGGTTTTTTTTATTTTACGATAAAGACGTAGCGAAGATACTAATACGAAGGTTCCTCACTTTCCTCCTAAGATCCTCGACTGTTCAACCCCTAGCTTGCAGTGATAGATCTTGAACTATTACTAGGGCCGTATAAACTCGCCAAAATATATTTTCCATCGATATATTATAGTCTAATTAGAATTTTTCCTTTTCAATATCAGCTATAAAATCATCTATCCTTGACCACTGTCCTACACGCATGCAAAGTTTAAAAGATGTCCTAGTCAAGCAAGGCCTGGATTCGTCGTCATTAACGACATGCTACACATCACGCGAACATGGATGGAGCGCAAATGCATTTCACAGCCGTTGTGACTTGAAGGGTCCTACTTTGTTGCTGGCTCGTAGTGAAAATAACGTTTTTGGAGGCGCTACGGAGCAGAGCTGGGGCCAATGTAAGAATCGTTTCAATAATGTTTACAAAAGGTTGTCACTAACCACTCAGCAGTAAAATTTTAACCATTACAACAAACGTTCAACTTGCGAGATATCCTTACTTGAGACATTTGGGGATTAACTCGACTTGTATTACAAATATTCGACCAGTGCATAACTTGAATTGATAATGAAATATTTGGTTTCCGGGATGGATAGATAAAACAAAATAGCAACTTTAAGTGAATGGAGGTCAAATTAAATGTGATTCGCAACTAAGCTGCTTCTCGTTTTAGTGCTACAGCATGGTCCAAGTTTTCCCTTGACCGCTCAAGGAATTTACTTGGAGATATTTAATTTGTTGCCTCGAATGACAGTCTTGATGGAGAAAGTTTTCTCACGACAGCGCAATAAGGACTCTAGTCATAGCCGGTAGCTATGACATCTGGGGAAATGCGGCAAAAGCGCTTGTCATACGCTCATTCAATATTCCAACCTATTTCAACAGGAAGCTTCAGAAAATGTCTTCTTTATCCATGGCGAAATTTACGCACTTATTTCCTTCTTCTTTTAATTTTTCGTAGCGTTCCCTGATTCAGATGCATATAGTCTTCAGTTTACCAGTGGTGTACCGAGTAACCATGTCCTTTTGAAGGTGCCGCATGATATGACAGCCTTTAGTCTCTCACTGTGGATGAAGACTCCTTCTCAAACCCAAGTAGCTATAGCTTCAACTGAAAATAGTGAATTTGCCCTCGAGTATAATTCAAGTCATCTTATCGTTCAGATATTTTCGTCCACTACAATGTAAGTAATCAATTAACAGTTTCTGCTTTTGTTGCGTTTTATGCAAAATAATATCCAGAAAGCCCACTTACAACTTCTCAAATGTGAGGCTGGTACTTAAAAATGCTCAACACTAGGCTCCGAGTGACGTAGTGCTCGGCAGCTACGCAAATCTCAATCGGGGAAAAACCGTTTGCTCGTCTTTCAGATCATTTGAATGAGACACTCAGATATTGGTTTCAGATCTTTCGCCAAGAATATAAGAAATGTACAAGGAAATTATCAAAAAAACCCCTTGAGTGCATAGGGGAAATTATTACTTTGCTTGAAAAAAAAAAAAAAAAACTATACAGTCTTTTTTCACAAATACGACTGAGTAAATAAAACATCGGCCAACTGAGACGGCAATCGCTACATTGCATCTGACAACTTGGAAGTGGACTAATGTCGATGAAACGTCTCTCGATCCATAGAGGCAAAGATAGTAACATTTTTGAAATGATATATTTTTTGTAGGGTTTCACACAATCTTAACGATGACATTTGGCATCATATAATAGTGCAATGGCAAAACATAAATGGAAACTGTACAATCTTTATCGAAGGCTCTCTTAAGATTAGTGAAAAGCTAGGCAATTCTAAAAACAAAACTATACCAGCAGGATCATCTTTTGCACTCGGCAAGGGTTTTCAATCCGGAATTGGATTTACTGGATTTCTTGACCATGTGAATTTATGGTCAAGTGTGATCGGTGAGGTAGGAAAACTACTGAGTCGTGGATGCCTCAGTTACCATGGTAATACGTTAGCTTGGCCAGTTTTCAAGGATGGAATAAAGGGAATCGTCACGGTTGTTCCTTCAAGGTGCCAGGCAAATAAAAGTAAGTGATCGAATTGACGTGACTGACCTTTGCTTAGTTTTGGCTGCGCTGCGCTGCATTCTGACATGATATATCCTGTTACAGCAAACAACAGTAGCAATAAGGAAATTGGGCAATAGACTACCGTCAATCAAATAAATTGTTCGGTGTACCTTTACATACTCTGATTGACGGAACTGAATTGCTCGATTTTACTGTCGCGACTGTTGTGTCGATCAGCACGTAGCAAAAAAAAAAAAAAAAATAGTGGTAAATAGTGTCCCTTCGCCCTTTTGCAGTTGATTCTATTTCACTACAAGATAGTTCATTTTAATATACATAATCGTGATGAAGTGGGTGGGCCCTCGCTACCCAGGTTCGATTGCTGTGAATTTCTCATCGATGATTCTGTAACACCTTTGTTTTATAATAGAGGGTTGTTAGCCCTATACCATGCAACAGCTTGTTGTTTTTTTATCGGGGTTGTCTCCCCTAGAACCGCCGCGTTCTGCAAAACCAGGGGCGCCACGTGGAGGCACGGCAGACGGTCTTCGCCATGGAGAGGCTACATGGCGTGGCCTCTTGCTGGAAAATTGCCCGTGTTTCATGCTTCACATGTCGATATGGATGTGGGGGGACCAGTGTACGACGCCTAAGTTATTATGCAGGCCAACTAGAAATGTGCTATTCCTCCAGGGATCCTTGCCTCCTAATATAATATACTACATAATATACATAATAATGGAACTATTATTTCAGGTGCCAGTAATTACGAGATGATATTTGAGAGAACGTCAAATAATGGCTACGTTCGGCTTGATTCACCTTGGAAGATCAACCTTGAACAGTTCACAATATCTTGGTGGATGAAGACTGAGAGTAAAGAGAATCTATATTTTTTCTCCCACGTGAATTCCGCTTGTGCAGTGCAAGTGAATCATACATTGAGCATCGATTATATTTTAGATCAATCCTCACAAAGATGGCAGTTTTCCTTTAAGTTTACCAAACAGTGTATGGAAGCCATTGAAAAAAAGTAAGAACCAAGTGATCGATTCGCATTGCATTAGTATTATTCAATAGATAGCCCATACGAGTGGTAAACAACGGCGGCAAGAAACAACATATAGAGTTAAATATTTTTTGGTGCCCCTTGAAGAAAGCAAAAGCTTGTTCCTAGGGACATCCTGTCTTTATGTAAACGGTAGGATAATCCTAATCCTACAGCGATAGTTCTCTTAATTTGTGGTTTTCCATGTGGAAAGGAAACAAACGGCCATGGAGTAAAAACAAAGGAGAGTAGACACAAGTCAAGTGCATAACACAATATTTTTTTGCGGTTATCCTTCAGATTTTATACCACTACACCAATAAACGATGGTTATTGGCATCATTTGGCAGCCACTTGGTCTTCACACGATGAATTTCTTCGCTTGTACGTTGACGGGAGATCTGAAGGATCACAACTAATGGCTGACTCGGAGAATGTCCCCCATTTACCTCCTGGTGGCAAAATCATACTTGCACAGAAATCGAATACTTTGAACGGGAGCTTGAATGCTCTTCAAGTATACGAGGGGAAATTATCTGGTTTTAACATGTGGGACTTCGTGATGGATGATGAAGCTATCTCAGTACTTTCCTTGACGTGTGGAGCTGAAAGTGGTAATTTGATGCAATGGACAGACTTACGACATGGTGTAGTTGGTCAAATCGATGTCATTTCACCATCTTCATGTAAGTATATTTCGTTATTATATTATCCAACGGGTGCAGGAATGTTATTGCTCGTAATTAGAGTAAAGTGTTAGTGAGTAATGCATAAACGTCTTAACTCACGTTTTCCTTGTCCTTCAAGGTCCAAGTGGTCATTATCGTCCAGATAACGGGGCCTTTATATTTGCACTCCATGCAGACGTATATTCTTCTACTGTAGCAAGGATTCGTAGAGAGCAAGCAGAAGTAGCGACAAGGGATGACTCGTCGCGTGGTCCAGTGTATGGAGATGCTCCACATGATCTTATTGTTGGTGTTGATGGAAAGATGTATACAGCGATTTATAATCAAAACGTTTCCTACGATACACAAATACTGGCAAATGGCAGCTTCTCTTTGAACGAAGTGGAGGTGTTTTATCTCAAAGGTAAAATGCTTCTTCCTTTTAGGGTGACACTGAGTGTTAAGAGTTTCCACAGGTAATTGTTTCATATAAACCCGGCGTAGCTACTCGAATCGTTCGATTAATTTGGATTGTGTTCGGCAATCGTACATAATGGAAGTCAACAAAACATGGTGGTAATCAATTCAATGGAAAGTTCGATAATAGATTGATTTTTCAATCGCCGACCAAATCAAACTAAAAATTTGGATGTGTTTGGCTATCGAGCATAATCGAACTCACCAAAAAGGCCTGGTTTGACTATGATCGATTGCCAAACCAATGATACAACAGAAAAATTGAAGTTCGATTAATGTTTTGTCGGTTTCGCCAATTGCAGGTATACACAAGTTACAACATTAGCCAGATTAGCCAACAGATGACCATTCTTTTGAAATATTACTTGTATTCATTTGACTAAAATTCATATGTTCGTTTGTCAGCTTAGATGCACAGAAGTTGGCCCTAAGACAAACAGATGAAATGATACTAGTATTCCTTTGACTAAAATACTTTTTTCTCTTGTCAGCAACCATGTGCTCTTCAACGTGTCCATACAAACACTCCTGTGATGAAATCAATGGCGGCTGTATATGTGACACTGCTGGCACATCATTTGGTCTTTGCGATATAGGTAACTAGAAATTATAAATTTGACATTTTTGTCAAGTTTCTCATTGCCACGACAGATGTTTATTTATTTCTGTAAGATGATAATATTCCTCGAATGGCCATATGTTAATTTGTTATACATCGAAATAATGGGTTCCACCGTCCAGATTTGACCTGCAATTCTGTTTACAGTATATTTCTGCAAATTACTATTCATGTTAAGTAATGAAATTATCAGAGTTATTATCAATAATATAATCATTTATATTCGTATTATATTGTAATTAGTTATATAGTTTTGCAGGGTCCCTAGCCATATATACCAGCCAAGACTCTGAAAAGGCCGCCACCCTGCATAAATAACTTTTATACATTTACAATTGCGCAACTGGTGTCAATGTAATTTTAAATATTGTTACCTGGATTCACAGATAAGGAATATCAGAGCGCTGTCGACTATTGGCCCCTTGACGAACCAAAGGCCATTAAAAACCTAAGGAAAGAGAACTGGGGCACATCAAAATGCAACGTAACGTCTTCCATTGGTGTTAATGGAGGTGCTTTAAAATCAAACGGTTTATTGGAATCCCAGATTGAACTAGGATATTACGACACCAGCTGTCTATCATCTGTGTGTACGATATCCATTGCACTGTGGCTTAAATATTGGCCATCAACCATTAGTGGGCGATCCCAAACCTTCCTGGACATTCATGGATTGTTTACTCTGTTTCAACCTGGAAATTCTTCGACGCAGCTTGGAATAAAAGCGTTTACAAGTGCAGGCCATGTTTGTAACTATGTCTTCAACGCAACGACGCACATTTGGAGTCAGATCTTTATAATAAATTCCGCACAAGTGATTGATATATACAGAAATGGGTTGTTGGTAACTGAGTTCGTCCAAAAGCATTGTTGGAATACTCCTACTCCTGCTCCAGCAGCCAGTGGATTAATAACATTGAATAAGGGCGGAGCGTTAGCAGAATATGATGATTTAGTGATATGGAATACTAGCTTATCTGAAATGCAGATTAAAGATATTTTCAAGTCGTACACAGGTTAGTTCACCCATAAGGGAGTATATACGTAGTTAATAAAAATTGTTACGAAAAGGACCGTGTCCCAAATACCCTTCAAAACTGAGATATATGAGTTGTTAGGATCTGAAATAAAAGTGTAGAATCTTGCAACTATACGGAGGTTAAATCGTAAATCCGAAGCAAAGAAAATGTGTTAACGACTTTTTGGTGCAAAGAACTCAGTGCGCGGACGTAAAATATAGGACTGCCCTATATACCGTTCTCATAATGGCTGACAAGTGCACGAAAACCAGGTCAACCAGTCATTAGTTCACAATAATATATATAAAAGCACATCAAATGCCTTTATAGAAGAAAAGTATATAAATTGGCCTTTTGTTTTGGACCTGAGCAGCCTAGCACAGCCTTGAAAGATGATTGGATGACGTTTTCATGCGCTCGTCAGCCATTACAAGAACTGTGTATACTATGCACCACAAAGACGTTAGAAAGCCTTCCTTCGACTTTCGCAAAGGCAAATAATAGCAAGATTTAGTCGCCAGTAAATTACATAATTTAGGCGAGCTCCTATTCTAATCCAGGTGATTTCAATACCGGTGTGCAATGCGATGTTTGTCAAAATAAAAATTTCCTAGTATTTTTTATTTCCCCTGACAAAAATAAAATATGTCAAAATAAAAATGCATTGCTAGAATTGTTTTTTTAAAAAACCTTAATATATACTCTGCAAAATAAATATTTATGAGTCGAGTAAAAAGTTTAGGAGCCGAATATTTATGAACAAAATGTTTGCTTAGAAATAATTAAATAATATGTTTATTTATTTTTATGGTAATATGCAATGATGGACTTGCTTAAAAAATCCTGATAAATATATGTTTGTTTGTATAGAGAAAACTTTGGTCCCTATCACGTTTATCGTAAAATTAACCCAGGAAGTTTGGCACGACGATCTTTTGAATGCCGAAAGTGAATTGTATCATGAAGTTTTTAGAAAAATACAGACCAACGTAAGTAAAACTAAATCAATAAACCCTGTATTTAAAAAACTCTACTTCATTCAACACTTTGAAATATAGAGAAAGAGCGGTAAAGTGGAGAAAGATACGAGATGACGAAGCTTATATAAATGTACTGAATAAGTTAGCCTGCTCCGCAGGGAACGAAGAAACAATTCGCGCATTTTCGTTGGCAAAGGAAGCCCGCTAGAGAACGGGATTAAGAGTGGCCTGCGGAGGAGGCTATGAATTGGTATAATTGAAGACTTTTTGAATAAAGAGTTTCGGTCGTTGTGATTGGTCGAGCGACCATTGCTAATGCGTCGACATTTACTTCCATCGACGAATGATCGTTAGTAAAATAATAAATAATAAAAGTAGTTTACAAGGGCTAGATAAATTTTACAACGGGCACGTGCACATTGTTTTCTGTGCACGCCGGCGCTTTCAAGGCTCGTTGGTCTTCATACTTCGCGGTTAATGTGCCTTTGCTAAATCTATTATTAACTATTTTTTCTGGTTTTAGATAACTAAATTCTACAGTGGACTTAATGTTTCGACTACTCTGCACAGCGTCTGGTAGGCTTTAAATCGTACATCGAGTAATTTATCTTTTTTACACGCTAATTAATTTGTTAGTTGCCGAACCTCAAACACCTCGGCCCATTACGTTAAAAAGTGTAATCTTTTTTTAATCTTATCCATTTCATTTCAAAATAAGACGTAACCCTCGTAAAATCTGTTTCAGGGAAGGAAGTGTGATGAGTAATTTCACTGTAAGTTATCATCCTTGGTCACCCGATCTTGTGATGTCTCTACAAAATAACGTTTCTGCCTTCTCAAGCATTAGCGACATGCCTGTGCAATTATTTGAAGTATCAGGAAGCCAAGGTAAGATATTTAAGAAAAGTGTTAGACACGGGGACACCGAGAAACCAGTGTTTTCTTACATGTGTGGGCTGCGGAAAATGCCCAAAAAGATAGAGACCTTTTTCCAGTTGCCAAATTACCGCTGTGTTTCTTGACTACAGACTCAGAGTTAGACAAGCTGTGAGTGAGTTAAGTGAAAAATGCTCAACCTCATCAACTAAAACACTTTGGAATTCCAAGGGCATTAAAAGAGATACATGAATATTCTTCACTTCTGTTTTTGCAGTTCTTGAAAGTTCTGATTTTACCAAAATTTTTCTTTTTAGTTCCATCCAGACCAGCGAGTGTCCAGGCTGTAGTTTCAAGTACTTCGACAATCGATGTGGGCTGGATGACTCCAGACATGGATGACATCACTCAGTCAATTTTTCAGGGTTATTACGTCTACTTACGCCAGAATGGGGTTGCTCGCCCTAATCGTACTGTTGTTGTGGCACCAAAGACAACGACTACACTGCGTAACTTGCCAGCACATACAGAATTTCAAATATGGGTTAGTGGCTTCACCCTCAAAGGAGAAGGCATGCCTTCCAGTATTTTGAACCTTACAATTGCACGTAAGTTTTAATTGTTATATTTAAAGAATCTGGAAATATGGAAATTAGCTTATATATTGACATATAGATATACTTGACTTTTGCAAATCGCTATATATATCGGGTATAGTGGTAAACTTAGTTTTACCACTATATATACACACATATACACCAGACAAGTTCTCATACATTCTTACATTATATAAATGTATATATATATATATATAATTTTTTTTTTCTAGCCCCCAGAGGACCCCCTCAGAATTTTACTGCTCGTTCAAACATGCCAGCCTGCATCAAATTAATGTGGCAACCATATCCATTGAAAGTGGAAAACAAACCTCTACAAGGATATAGAATTTTCTATTATGCTACAAATAGATCTTATGTGCTGTTAAATAAGACGGTGGATGCTAAACAAAATGCTCTAGTTATGTGCGACTTGATGATGGCTACCAATTACACATTTCGTATACTTGGTTTCAATGACCTGGATGGTCCATCGTCTGATCCAATAATCGTAATGACAACCACAGATGGTAAGCTGAATTAGAAAAGTATCTTGAAAATATGTTGATAAAATGACGATCATTATATTGGTTGTGATGATATTGATGGTGGTATTGGTGTTAGTGATGCTGGTGGTGCTAATGTTGTGGTTGGCGATGATGTTGATAGTGGAAGTGGTGTTAATGATGCTTATGCGATGAAAATGGTGGTAGCATGACACTGATGTTGATGTTGGTCGAGATGATGCCGATGTTGTTGATGCTGGTGGTGCTAGCGGTGGTGGTGCTAATGTCGTTGTTGGTGATGATGTTGATAGTGGTAGTGGTGGTAATGATGCTTATACGATAAAGATGGCGATAGAATGACTCTGATGACGAGGGTGATGGTGTTGATGATGGTTGTTGGTGGTATTGATACGATAATGATGATAGTAGTAGCGGTGGTAATGACGATGATGATGATGGTGGCGACGATGTTGAATTTGATCATGATGATGGTGGTGGTGGTGCATAGTGATCGTGGTAAAGACGATGACGATGATGATGACGGTGGTGATGGTGTTGAATTTAATCATGATGATGGTGGTGGTAGTGATGGTGGTGCACTAATGGTATTGATATGGAAATGGTGATGGTAGTGATTGTGGTAATGACGATGACGATGATGGTGATGGTGGTGATGGTGTTGAATTTGATCATGATGATGGAGGTGGTGGTGATGGTGGTGCACTTATGGTGTTGATACGATAATGATGATAGTGGTAGTGGTGGTAACGATGATGATGATGATGATGGTGGTGGTGATGGTGTTGAAGTTAATCAAGATAATGGTGGTGGTGGTGCACTAATGGTGTTGATACGATAATGATGATAGTAGTGTTGATGGTAATGATGATGATGATGATGGTGATGATGGTGTTGAAGTTAATCAAGATAATTGTGGTGGTGGTGCACTAATGGTGTTGATACGATAATGATGATGGTAGCATTGGTGGTAATGATGATGGTGGTGGTGGTCGTAGAGTGTGATGGTGATGTTGGCGATGTTGCTAAGTGGTGCAAGGGCGGATCCAGGGTTTTTTTTTGAAGGGGGGTCTCAGGGGTAAATTTTGTGGGCAAAGGAATCCCAGTCGCATTTTTACCACAAGAAGCCCATTTGACCTCAGGAATGACAGGGGGGTCGCGACTCCCCCGACCCTCCCCCTGGATCCGCCCTTGGTGGTGGTGATTGAATATACGGATGATGACAGTTTCAATGCTTACTAAATAAAGTAAGTATCTGATGACTTAAAATATCAAAATTTGTCATTAGTACCAGTGGGCAAGCCAGTTATAACAGATGCCTATAACACAAGCACAACAAGCATCGTGGTCAAATGGGATAGAATTCCTTCGAACCTTACTCGAGGCATCATCGTTGGATACGAAGTTCAGATTTATCGTAATGATAGTCGCGACAAGGCAGTGAGCACAATGATGGTTGACTGTGAGAATGTGACCGTCAAAGGACTAGAAAAGTACACAGCTTACGTCATTACGGTAGCTGGTACTACAAAAGGAGGAAAAGGACCATACAGCGATCCCGTGGTTTGTTTCACTGACGAAGATGGTAAGTTAACAAACCTAATAAATATCACGCATCTTTTTCTTAGCTTTTTTTACTTTTATTAAGGCATTTTGGCGGCATAGAATTTGTAAAGATAGGTTTGCGCAAACTGTGAAAAAAGGAGCTCTGCAATAAATTATCGTATGTTTTTTTATATATTGAAAGGTACTAAGCTCGTGAGTAAGACCTTCTTTGCAATCATATGCTAATAACTTCTCTTACATACTTTTTGATAGCTATATACTGAGCTTTCTCCAAGGGTCCTTCACTTGTTTTGAAGTATACTGAACTTCCTCAAGTTAATAGAATAAAAATAGATTAAAAATCAAACGAAAGTATTGTGTCTTCCTATGACTTCTCTCTCGCCAAGTGCTCGTACTGCATGGAACGAATTGGAAGATTAATTTCGAGCTTGTGATTCCTAGGACCAACATTATGTCCCTTGTCCAATTTATCATGTCATAATAAGACCTTCGCAAACTAACTGCTAAAGGCGAAAAAAAAAAGTCTATAAGGAAACGAAATAACCTTATTCCCAGGTATAATTCGTTTTTATGGTTTGTTTTAGAGCCCGAAGGATCTCCAAGCAACATAACGTTGGTGGAAGCCACTGCTAGAAGCCTGAATATCAAATGGCTGCCGATCCCAAAAACCAAAAGATTTGGCATCATCATTGGGCATACTGCAGTGTACTATTCTTTAGATGACGGAAATAAAGTCGTCTTCAATCAGACATGCGTATCATGTGTTACAACGATGAACATCTCCAACCTCAAGCCATTTAGAAACTATCGTGTTGAAATATTTGGGTTTAATTCCAAGGGTAATGGACCAATCACAAACATGTCTATTACGTTTCAAACCATGCAAGCAGGTTAGTATGTATAATCGCTTGTTTGAAAAAGTTAAAGTCGAAAAATTCTGAATCAGAATGGATTACCGTTGAAATTTTCATGTGCATGGTCAGAAGTCCATCGCTAGTTATGAAATTCTGGCGTGATTCTTTCCATTGCTCATGCTGGTTATGAAAGGTAATTAATGGAGCAAAGCTATTGATGGGTCTCAAGCATTCCTAAGAGAGTTTAAAGGCAAAGGGCATGGCGGCCATTGTGGTGTCGTTAACAATAGATGCTATTATAAAAATCTTTTGTTAAATGGCACCAACACTCCCGCCCCGAGAGGCCGCGATGACGTAACGTGCAATCGAAGAATACCAAATGCCACTCAGATAATTTATGTGCCACCGATCTCCTTGAATGTTTCCCATTTACGATCAGTAATATAATTGTTTTTTTTTCTAATTTAAATGAAGTCCATTATCAAATCTTGACTTTTGGTCTGTTTTTATGATATAGCTCCTTCCATTGGCCCAATAATGAAGTCTGCAGTCAACCAAAGCTCAACGTCAGTGCTTATCAAATGGGATCCTATTCCTAAACAATCCGTCAACGGTATTTTGCAGTCTTACGTGATATCATATCACAAAGCAGACTCTTTAGCATTCCTTAATAAAACAGTTCTCATTGACCAAGCCACCGTTCCAAAAAGACGACGACGAAGAGCAATTGATTATAATACTCCACAAGTTTTGTTAGACGGACTGGATAAATTTACAACTTACTCCATTATGGCAGCGGGGGTTACTGTTGCACAAGGTCCATTCGGCTTATCGATAAATGTAACCACAGATCAAGATGGTAAGCATAATATGAATTTAGTACGTATACAATGCACTATTATTTTCCGGTAATTAATTGAAAAAAGAACAGTTAGTTCTCAGCATATAGGTCTAGAGGATTTTTACGCAACACATACAATGCGTATCTCGTTCATATTTTGGGGGAACTCGAACTATTTCGAGGTATCTGTCAGGTACGATTAAAAAAAATCATTTTTTAATCATTGTGCTTTGCAATCATTGTATCTTTATTTTAACACTTTCATACTGTCTGTGCATTTCGAGGCATTTCTCTGACGTTAATTTTGTACTCTGGGGTACAAAAGGGGTTTATATGGCACTTTTTCTTAGACAAGATCTGGTTAGAAAAAAACAGAACATTTGATAACCTGTTAATCACGCTTGCTTATAGTTCCAGAAGCACCTTCACTTCTTGAAGCAAAAAATACAAGCTCAACATCGATCATTGTTACCTGGCAAGAACCATCCAAACCTAACGGTATAATCCAAGGCTATATAGTATACTACAGTGAGGCGGATAACTCCTCTGGATCTGCTATTCTTAGGAGTAAAACAGTCCGAGCTATGACCACCACCTTGACTGGACTTACAAATTACACGACATATTTAATAAAAGTTGCTGCTTATACAACAAAAGGAGTAGGAGCTTTCAATACGACGAGATGTACAACAGACGAAGCAGGTAATGAGGGAAAGGAAATCCTGGAAATTCTGAATAATATCAATTATATAATTTACTTTCATTTCTTATCTTTCAAACACCTTTAAAATCTATTCCAGTTTCAATCGAATTAATTTATGACCGTTTTGGATATTTTGCAAGAAGGGTGATAAGACTTTATATTTCATCTTTTAAGAAAAATATTTTTCAATTGCAGTACCCACAGGGCCTCCGCAGTCAGTTTCCGCGTTTGCTGCAAGTACAGTAAGCATCGAAGTAAGATGGCAACCAGTTCTAGACGTACAAAGAAGAGGAGTCATTACTCACTACATAATCGAAATTAAAAACTCGAGTGGCTCACTTGTTGGAGAACACACCATTCCTGGTGACCAATACACCACCATCATTGGGGGACTAGGAAAACGCAGTAATTATACTGTCAGAATAAATGCTTATACTCGTATTGGACCAGGACCCTTCAGTGAAGAAGTTTTTGCCACGACTGGTGTAGCAGGTGATTTTAGAAATAAAATAAAATATAGTTTCATCTAATAACATGACTTGCACTGGCACTCTACTCTTTTATTTCTGGAGCTGAGATGCACGCTGGCGCATGTGCTCAAAAAAAAAAAAAAAAAAAAAATTGCCAATGAGGACATTGAAAGTGTTKTCGCTGAAAMAATCACTCTTTAAAATTGTCCACAACTGAATTTACGTGTCTAAGAAATGTGTTTTACCGTTACTCATTCGTGTTTTTGCTGCAAGGCAACCGGCTAGTCCTTCATTTGACAATCACTATTTTGTCGAGTGAAAGAAATGCTGACATAACAAGCATATCAAATTAATGTTTCATCCACAGCTCCGAAAGTCCCTCCAGGAAACGTGACAGCCGAACTCAATGGAACTACTGAAATCCTTGTCAAGTGGAGCAACCTTGAATTACATATAAATGGGGCGGTTCGAGGATACCGTATCACTTATACCGAGACAAACCATCCATTCTCTACCCTTAAGAACGTTACTGTGGATAATACCAAACAAGATGTACTACTGACTGGACTGTATTACTACACACAGTACAAAATCCGAGTCGCTGGGTTTACGATTCGGGATGGGAACTTTAGTGACCCTGTATACGTGACAACTGGAGAAGGAGGTAAGGAATTAACTGCTCATTCCACTCCTACTAAAAGAAGCTAAATATTTACCGCCCTTTGAAAATATTTTAAAGTGCTACTACGACGAAAATCGCTCAAACTTGGATTCAGCTGAAACTTCCTAAGAATACTCTTTAAAGGTCCAATAATCACTGTATGAAGTGTTTTCTCGATATTCAGGACGAAAGTATGATATTTTTACGATTATTTTTTGGAGTCTGTGACGTCATACACTCAACATTGAACATCGCTCCATATATTTCTTTGTAGTTTATGATCAAAATATTAGTAGTAAAGGGAGTAAGAAATACCCAAACACCCCAAAATATAAATTATAGTCACATGTGAAATAAGCACATTAGCCACCCTTTGGGCTTCATAGAAATAAAATAAATTAAGGATTTATATACATACAGTGATTATTGGACCTTTAAAGAGTATTTTTAGGAAGTTTCAGCTGAATCCAAGTTTGAGCGATTTTCGTCGTAGTAGCACTTTAAGAATTTATTTGGATTTATAATTAGTTAGGTTTATTACTAGCTACCGATTAACGAAATCGGTCGGATTTATAAGTCTGTAAATACTACCCTCAAACAAGTCTGAATATGGTGTATGAATGGTAATGGATATTATTATTATGAATAAGGAATAATCCAAACTTGAGATATCTATTTTATGTGAAAACTTTTATTCAATGGTATTCGAAAGGAGTCATCAGGCCCGCCGTTTTCATTTTATATTAACTATAGGGGATGATATGAGGTTGGCATTTGTTACTTTCATAAACTATAGTCAAATAGACCCCTTGCAGCACTTTGGAATGCAACTCAATATGGGGGTAAAAAAAGGGGGATTCCAATTCTCAGGAGATTGGAATTCTTTTGTTTTGTCCCCCAGACCGTGCTGCTTTGAAGTCACATGTAATGGGTCTACAGACCTCTTACCTTGGGTGTAATATTCTCCCATTCAGATCGCTTGTCATTATCTTGGGAATAAGATTCTTTGTTTGAGTTGTTTCCACTGATATTTATGTGTCCTCTCATGCGCAACTGTTAAACAAAGAAATGATACATTAGGGAATAACACGTGGTCCGAAATGGAAAAACCTTAATTGAAAAAATATTAGTGCGAAAAGGTCTATAAAGCCTTTGCACCATAGCGTGATGGCAGCCATGACAGGAGGCAGGAAGGTTCCCAGAGGGAAATACTCTATTGTTGTGCCTCCTGTCATGGCTGCTATCACGTGATGGTGCAAAGCCTCTTTACACCTTTTTTTAGTCACGAAAACAAAATGGATGCCAAAAATATCAAAACAAATGTCCAAACTTCAGTTCCAGGCCAACATCCAAGCAAAATAGTAGTTTCCAACAGAGGATCAAGAGAAATCGGCCTATTTTGGGATGAAGTTGACGCTGGCTACCGAAATGGAAAAGTTATAAAATACCGCGTGCTGTACAGGAAGACCGTTCCGGCTGGAGAACCCTACCTTAGTCAAGAAAGTGTAGGATATTCAATGATACTGCAAAATCTTGAAAGATCAACCACTTATGAAATGTTGTTGGCAGCAGGAACTTCCGTGGGATATGGAAATAGTTCTATTCATTATTTAAAAACTGATGAAGATGGTAAGTGACTAGGCCCACATTAAACATGTTGCTTGAAAAGAAACTAGAATAAAAGAGCTTTCCGATCGCTAAAAGCCAGAACTTGGAGCAAACTAAATCAACTGTCACCAAGATATATTTTGGTAGATATTTTACTAAAACTCGTTTATTTTGCCCACATCTCATAAATTTCTTTGTTGATTTGTTTTATGGTTGCAAAAACAAACAAACAAAAAAAACAACAAACAAACAAAACAAACAAAAACAAAAACAAAAACAAAACAAAACAAAAAAAAACGTAGAAATAAAACTGACAAAAACCGTTTTCTAAAGTATTTTCTTTGCTGTTGAACTTTTTTAGTTCCTAGTCAGGCACCTATTAATCTGACAGCGCATAACTGGACAAGCCTTTACAGTTTACCCGTTACTTGGGAACCAGTACCTCAACAATACATGCATGGGGTATTAACGAATTACTATCTGAGCTACTTTTTGGTCAAAGAAGGAGACAAAGATGTTCTCAAAAAGAAAGTGTTCGAAAAGATATTGCCAGCGAGCCAGACCTGGTTCAACATCACAGATCTTCTTCCCCTTTCAGTGTATAAGATAGAGGTTGCTGCTTCCACTAAAAAAGGAACCGGTCCAATAAGTATCACATTTGGAGGTAATTATATAAAACATTAAGAAATTTTATAATACGTCCTCAAACAGAGACTGATCTTGGATGAAATGATTGCTGATAATAAATAGGAATGTCCTAAAACGACCAAAGTCAAAATGCTTACTAAGTAGTCCACAACACATTACTGCAATACATAATAATACAGCCAATCAGAACGTAGGAAAGCCGTCGTGTGTTTGTCGATATTCGACTCTTCGTTCCCATCATGCGCTGCGCCCTAAGTTATTTTCTATGGTGTGGGGTGAAATTCTTATACAGTGCTTACAAGTGGCACACCATGGAATATTCCATTTGTCACTTGTACTTTCTTTGTATACTCAATCCTCTGAAGGTTCGTGTACATGTTTACATACAAAATACTTAGTGACGTGTGGCATACTCCATTTTGTATCACTTAAAAGCATTGTATAACAAGTATGTATTATGCTCACTTATTTTCTCGGGTTTTCGAAGTAAAAGCACTATAGAATGAGATGTCACCCCGTATAACGTGCCTAACGAAAATGGTATTTTTGTACAGAAACTTGTCGATGCAAGAAGAAATTTTCCACCAACTGGAAACAGTACCAACCTTATTCTAATGTTAGCAAAGATGGCCGCCCTGGACATATCATTCCTATAATGATTCAAAATATGGCTTCTTATTGTTGTGAGACTTGCAAAGAGCATGGACAATCCGAGGTGGACTTTCATTATGATGGCCATGGACAGAAGGCAGAGAAAACATCCCTGCAACAGGTATTACCCATAGCTGGTTCATTTTAACGAACCTCAATACTTATTTCATCTCTTTTCTTTTACTACCCTGTCAAAATTTCTTTGTGCATGACAACGTAAGGGTTTCTGTTTTTTATCGTCTCAGGGCAATCAGTAATTTACCATAAATACATGGCTGGTGTTCGCTCTTACTTTACTTCTTTGTTAATTTATCCAAAATTCTTTTCGAATAGAACTCTTTACCTTAGAAATAATGCTTTCTAATTTCAGACAAAGGGCCATTCTCTTGAGATAAGATTATTTGTTTGTTGTATCAATATTCATGTGTCTTCTCAAACAACCATCAAACAATGAAATAATACTTTAGTGAATCGTAGCTCTGGTCTAAAAGTGGGAAACCTTACACCCAAGGTAAATCATGCAATTTTTTATACTTTAACGCGTCTCTTTTTATAGTTGATCCGAGAAATTGACGGCGAAACCGACTTCAGCTTTCCAGTTTACGGTTACCACGATCAAACAACATTCAAAGGTGGTCTTGGATATACTCCATTGATCGAATCACCTGGAGTAGCATTTATTGTTGGGAAAGACAGTTACAACTTCAAAGAACAAATGTTTGAAGGTGTCTTGAGCTGTTGGCCTGTGATAGCCTTACCGCTGGTCATGACTTGTATTGCAGGTTTCATTGTCTGGTTGCTGGTACGTGTATTTATATTAGATAAACCATAAGCATTTACGACTTTTTAATCGAATATTTGAAATTAAAAAAGATAGGAGAGTGACTGACATTGTTGGAAAAATATAGGTTCTAAACGGAAAGCTAGCATGAGATCATTGTGAATGTCACATTGGCATTTTTCAAAGAATTGAACTGATAGGTGAAGTTCAATGAGAAACGTTATTAAAAAAAAGTATTTTAGCTTTCCTCTGATGAGCCCAGAGAACTATGATCCAGAGTTGCCCCGAGTAAAATTGATTATTAGATTTTTGCTTTTGTTATTGTTGTTGTTGTCTTATTTCACGGTATTGATCTTTGATTTTAGGTTGTGATGATCGGATATCAAAAGACTGAGATTAATTGCCATTTTTATTTCCAACTAGGAATTCACAAAATCAACATCTGATTTTCCAAAGCCTTTTATTAAAGGATTCAACGATGGAATATGGTGGTCATTTGTTTCTATGACAACAGTGGGGTAAGCAAAAATCCCATCTACTTTCAATGATATATCACTAATAATATTTTCAAACGACATTTTGGTTGTGCAAATAAAATGTCAAATTATTTACTTTTTTGCTTCCGAAGATATGGTGATAGGATACCAAAGTCTTTTGCTGGACGTTCATTTGCCGTGTGTTGGACACTGACCGGAATTGTAATTATATCAGTTGCCACAAGTAGCTTGACCACTACTCTAACAGAAATCACAGTAAAGAGCGAAAAGCGACTGTATGGAGCAAAAGTTAGTAAAATATCTTGTAGAGGCACCCTGCCTGTGCCATTCTTATTTGAATTGGTTTAGAATGTGTTCATGAAATATGATCAACATCTTCTGAATGCAAAAAGGAGACAACTTTCTCAAAACGATTTTTTACTCAGGTTGCTGCTTTACAAGATGGTCCAGAATTTCTCCTGGGAATAAGACGAAATGCTCTTGTTAATGAAAGTAAGAAGTTATCACCGTTTATAAAAAGTTAAATGATGGAGGTTTTTAGTTCATGAATCTACGTTTCTAGAACTAGAAATCTTAGTACATTAAATATTGATATAACATGGAATAAATTGTGGCTCTTGTTTTAAGAAACCATACAGAATTATGCTTTGTGCAAATGTCTCCTCCGGTTACTATCATCGCTGTACCTCCCTCTTCAATCCTATCAATTTTCTTGATATAACTTATCCGTTATCATTTTTAAACAGAGAACAAGTACTATACTTTAGATGCGGTAATGGAGGCCTTAAATGCACGTGAGGTACGGGGCATACTCGTGGATACATACGCTGCTGGATCAAGGCCTGACCTGTTTAATGAGCCCTCTCTGCGAGTAGCCAAGGTTTTAGATTACAAAATGGCTTATGGACTTGTAACAGCCGGACACGCCATAAAGTTGCGACGGTGTTTCCTTGACTTCCTTAACGTAAACAAAGCCGACATCTACTACAGCATCGTTAATAATGTGCGGCAAGTCCAGGTAATTATAGTTTTTAGAGTTTATTTGCTGGCAGCTACTTACCTTCTTAACTGTAAGTAGGGTTGTTCAAATTGATGGGTTGCAAGCATTCCCAAGAGAGTTGAGAGACAAAAGCATGGCGGCCATTGTGGTGCCATTAATAATGAATGCTAATAAGAAATCTTTTGTTAAATGGCACCAACGCTCCCCCGAGAGGCCGCGATGACGTAACGTGCAATCGAAGAATAGCAATACAGTCCCAATCCATAATATACTATAATCTTATTCGTACAATACCGCTGTGTTTCTTGATAACAGACTTATTTACCTAGGAATATACAGCATCATTTCTGTGTCTGTTCTTGTTCATATTATCATTGTTGTTCATATTATCATCGTTGTTCATATTATCATTGTTGTTCATATTATCATCGTTGTTCATATTATCATCGTTGTTCATATATTATCATTGTTGTTCACATTATCATTGTTGTTCATATTATCATCGTTGTTCATATTATCATCGTTGTTCATATTATCATCGTTGTTCATATTATCATCGTTGTTCATATTATCAT